GTCTCATCGTACGCTGACTCAGCGGTCTCATCGTACGCTGACTCAGCGGTCTCATCGTACGCTGACTCAGCTGTCTCATCGTACGCTGACTCAGCAGTCTCATTTTATTTCTAAATGTTTTGATTTCTGGACGTTCTTGTCCGACTCTTTTTCAGATGAGCTGGACGGACGGTGCCGGGAAGCGAGGCAACCTGCAGAAAGGAAGCAGGGTGGACGAAAACGAAGGGATGGAGGACAACTTGCTGTATAGTGGCCGAGAGACAGGTACACCTGTCTGTCCCCGTCTGTCCACTTGTCTGTCCCCATCTGTCCACCTGTCTGTCCACCTGTCTGTCTCCGTGTGTCCATCTGTCTGTCTGCGCTCGGTCAGACGTGCCACTTTTCATGCAGATGAACAAAGTGTCCCTGAAGCTGTGTGAGACACTTCTGTCCAAACAGCTGCTGCAGGACGAGGTGTCCTCATCGAAGCTTTCAGATTATTTTAGAACGTTTCAACAAGATGGAGAGCTGTGAACCATCTGCAGCTCTTTTAGCTGCCACCAATAATGTTTACACCAACGTCTTTGTGATTTAGAAAAATATCTCATCCCTTATGCTACTTGTAGCCTTTAGCTACTTGTAGCCTTTAGCTACTTTTAGGCTTTAGCCACTTTTAGCCTTTAGTTACCCTTTCACCACTTCTAGGTAACCTTTTGATTTAGTTAGTGTTAGGATAGCCCCAAGATACTTGTAGCTAGACTTTTGCTACTCTCAGTATTATGTTGTTGCCTTTTTTAGCCTTTAGCTAGGCTTTGACAGCTTTCTGCTTTAGCTACATCTTTGGCAATTTACTTTTTCCTTTACTACTTTAATTTAACATTTTGCTACTTTTAGCCTTTAGGTAACCTTTGTCTGCTTTTAGTATTAAATATTTAGCTATTTACAGTCTTTAGATAGCTTTTAGCTTTTAGCTTTTGAAGCAGATGGTCCTCTTGTCCTGAGCCTGGTTCTGCTGGAGGTTTCTTCCTCATGAGGGAGTTTTTCTTTCCACTGTCGCCTCTGTGCTCGCTTACGATGGGAGACTGTGATGAAGTGGAAACTTGAAGCAGTCTGCTCCTCAGATAAATAATGTTAGCTGATTTTTAAATATTAATCTTTTTGTTAATTCATTATTTTTATTGATCACTGTTTCCGTTTATTATTTTTATTGATCAATCTTTCAGTTTAATATTTTTATTGATCAATCTTTCAGTTTATTATTTTTATTGATCAGTC